CAAAGTTCCAATCATGGGTTCCATGAAACGTAAACTTAAGCAAGCCCACAAACTTCCAGTCAAAGTTCAATTTTGAAAACTCGAACTGTATTCAATGACTAGATCCGTGGGTCTATGAAAGTCATAATTTTATAGAAGTAGATCTCCTGGATCAATTAAACATTTTCAATTTATGAACCTAAACTGTACCTTGATTACAAGAATTCCAGATTTACTACATGACCTAGATACCCAATTTCATCCAAAACTTCATAAAATTGTAATCCAAACTCATACAAGCACTAGACTCCATGGTTTCAGGAAAAACACTTCATCCAGATCCCTGGACCCTAGACTTTGGTTACTCAGGTCCATAAAACCAAACTTAATAAAGACAGAGATCAATTAATGTAACAAAGTCCAGACTCTATACAAGGACTTGATCCATTGGTGCAGTGGAAATCAGCTCTCCTAAATACTTTGTATTTATGAAACACAACTTTCAAGATACTATAATGTTAAAAATACACTACGAGAAAACGATATGAAACGTTTTATTTTCCAATAGTATGTTACAAAACTAAGACTTTCTGTTAATTACTAAAATTAAAAGTCACTGCAGCCATTTTTATTGATATCTAATAAAATAAAGAATGTTAACAGTGCGGCCTTGATCAAATTCATACATTACCGCTCGTAACTCTGATGCTGCGCATGCGTATAAGCCTGGAAAGAAGCTATATGGCGGACGCAAATACGAAAAAGCAACGAGGACCTGAAAGTTACCTTACAGAAAGTGCTAGAAAGCGAAAAAGGAAAGAGTCAGACAAGAAAAGAGGACACGCAAGAATTTATATTAGATAGAAGATTGATAGATGGCGAAAGATCAAGGAGGATCTCGAACTGAATACGGATTTGGAATTTACGAAGCTGCTGCTTGACTGGTTAGCTTAACGTTAGCCCTTTAAGTATAACGTATCCGCCTGTCATTGATTATAATCCAAAACCCAGTGTTTTACACGTGAATATATTTTGAACAACACTACTTAAAGTGTTATCTGATAAATGTTGAATGAAAATAGTTGTGTTGTTCGCTTGAATTTACTATCGACAACGTGTGTTTGTTGTTGACTGCAAGGTGGGTCCCAACTGGGGGTATTCGTTCTAAGTGTAAAAATATGACGGTACTGATAGATTGATATATATTGTAACACTATAGAATCATTTACTGCAAACAAGAATTAGCAGTAAGGCGCAAAAGCAAGTGTCTTACACAAGACATGTGCGTTTGTTTACCTCGAAATCCATTTTTGCGGCGGAAGTAAACGATTTCGTCACGTGACAAGCCATGTGGCCCACTCGGCTTTCTTCGTAACAAACCGGGCGTGAAGATGTTGATAAACATTAGTCAAGATAAACAGTGTTACGACGCCGAAAATATGTACAAAAACAACAAATTTGACGTTATAGGCACGTGTATCGCTTTATTATGGATATACTTTATTATTCATAAGCCGAATTCTGCTTTTCCCGTTGTTGAAATCTAAGGTAATAGCCGCTTTAAAATTTTATCTGAACCTCCTCGATGACACCAACCCCAAACACCACAGGGCATAGATAAAAAAATCGTAGATTCAGTGGTTTTATCACGGACTTTTCCTAGATCCTTTGAAATCCAAACTACATACGTGATGTCATTGTACAGAGGTTGTTTGACTGCTCAACATGTCAAAGTAATTAACCTTCTAGAGAAACAACAAAGAACTGTTGGATTGCATGTCGCATCGCCTGCAAACTTGTGTCTTTAGTCATAGGTATTGAACACTAACTAGACGTACCGTGGTTGGACAACTTGAACTCTTTATCCATACTTCAAGCACCCTAAAAGACAACACTACGAAGTCTCGACAAATCAATGAAAATGTCTGGACTTTAGAGTGAAAGCAAAGTTATTTAAAAGGATTTATAGAGAATGCAAAAATATTGGAAACATGACATGGGTATCGACAGCATTTTAACCTTCCGATTATTGACCTGAAACACCTAGAGAAGGCTATTTGGGGTGGGGCGGGGGGTCTATCTAGACAACGCCATTTTATCATGAATATATGAACCAATGGAAATGTCTACAGTTCAAATTTTCGTATTCTGGTGTGAACAACTGTGCGATGCTAGGTGGTCCAAATGAGACGAGTGTGGACAAGTCAGTACAGTCCGGGTAATCAAGGACCGGACATCACCCGCGGTCGATCACGCTAATGTCACGGGATAACAGCCACACGTACACGTGAACAAAGAGCCATATTGAACCATATATGAAAGCAGAGTCGTTTGTTATCACGTGTCTCTGGTACAAGTTACATAACAGCAATATATTATGGCACAGTCATTGATCCCACGTTTAGGGCGATTTTTGTTGTATATGGAACTTCTTTTTGAGTAATTTTAGTAAGGACGTATGAGATTTTACGAAAGTCGCTTCATGCCACTTGAAATATTTTCTTTATCTTGTAATTACGACTTAACATGTCGTAATTACGACTTGCTCCAAATTACGAGAGAATTCAGTTGTGATTGCGAGATTACAAAGTTGTAATTACGAAAAAGAAATACTTTAAGTGGCATCAATCGGCGTTCGTAAGTTTTAAATTATCCTGATAACTAAAACGAAAATTCTTTGAAAATTAAAAAAAAAAATCGAAAATGACCAATTTCGTCAATATATTATTAGATATATCAAAGTCTGTGCATTTGTCATTGCCTCACGAAATTTAACACTCCGGATTGTCAGTTTCTGTCTCGGAATAAAAGATTTTACATTAAATGGTGGTATTATTTTGCGAAATAAAACATGTTTAGGTAAACCACTTTGAATGTTGCTCAGTTCTTTCACACTTCACATCCACACGTTTGACAAAATCAAATAATGTCTACTTGATTCTGTCACAACTGGACCGCTGCAGTTTGAAATTTATTTTATTAACACATCCTCTATAGCAGCACGTGCTGTCGTTAGAACCTATCTCGTGGACTTGTTTCAAGTGATTTGGTTCAAAATCGGAACTTCATCTTATCTTGACAAGACTAGACCGACTCCACAACGACAGATCAACAACAAAATCCCTACGAACGTCTTTATCACCGCTTCGTTTTCACTCTAAATCTATATAGTTTTTAAACACCACTTACTCCAATAAAACGTGATCATTTTTTGCTAGGTAAGTGCAGTTGTTAAGTAAAGGCCGATGTAGTCCTTTAGTCCTTGGTTTCCTTGTGATTAACAGTTTTTCATCCGAAAGCCTGGTGTTGTTGAATAAGCCGGTGTAGTGTCCCAACGGGATTTCCCGGCGCTGTTTTTAAGTTGTGATATCCCCAACTGAGTTCAAATAATGCTGACTGATCCCTGATCTTAGCTACGCTACTTCCTCCGTAGTTACGCGGTCGTAGTCGATTTTCCAGGGATTTTGAACACATTCAATTAACGAGCCTGTGGTAAAAAGTAGGGCTGGGACTATTTTGATATTTTTAATACTTTAAGAAGCAGATTGTTTCTGATATGAGAAAGTCATTAAGTTCATCATATTATGCTGCGAAGTCAAGTGTGCCGAAATTGTGTAGTATGGGACGCAACCCTTTGTTCAATTGAGAAAAAGTCAAACAGAAAAAAAAAGAAGGAAAATAAGTGATACTCGGGCACATCTCTTACGTTATACTGTCAGCGATCTAGATGATGCCAGTCTCACATCAAAAATCGGTCTATAATTGATTATTAAAGATTACGATTGACGATTCACCAATCGTGCTACACAGCATCAAACAGCATCAAAATAACAACAAAGTTAGTAAAAACGTTTTCGCGGCATACTCTGGTTTGGATTTTCTCTGCTACATCATTTAATATGCCTTTAAATACCTGGAAATTTGGTTCACCGTTCGGAAAACACAGATTAACAAATCAAAATTATTCGAAATATTTATCCAGGAAATTTATTTGTATCCTTACCAACTCTAATAAAACACCTAACATGTGATAATACACCTAAATTGACCAATTTTTACAGCCAGTATGATACTGGCCAGATAGCTGTTCCCCGTTATTTTTACTCTGCTAATTTGATGTACAGCTATATATATGTGTGTGTGTATAAAGGTAGTCTTTATTCGTCTAATTCGTAGTTATATGGATGACTGTTAGCAATATTTCAAATGTTCTAGATCAAAAGTTTATGGTGTGCTTTAATTTGTGGGAGTATTTGGTCGTACATTTAAATGACGCTACAATATGCATACTTGTCACAAGATACCTAGATTGCCTCTTTGTCATGGTCTCTATTGTTACCAAAACCTGCAATGGCTTTTAAATGCAAATATAAAACGAAAAATCCGTAACTACAGATACTTTATTCGTATGATATATGGGGCGCCGTTTTAATATTTAGGTACAAAGTGCGATATCATAAAATAAATAACTGTATTTCATGTAGTGACATCATTAATTCGATTTAGTGGTATCAATAAATATTTGATATAGAAAATATTTAAGAATATATATTTTTTAGTTCGAATTATTGATATCATTATATGAATAACTGATAACACTTATTCAAATTATTATCATCTCATTTGAAGATAGATACTAAAACGGCTTGTCAAAAGGATATCGGCTTTTCTGACCAAATCGTTAATCATTCTTTCGAATAATCGTGTCTTCAGTGTAAGCTTAACAGCTACAGACCAAATATGGACTGTGAAAGATAAACTGCAGTGAAGATTTATTTGTCCTCTCAGCAGGTATTTTATACACAGACAATTTTTTTTTCTAAAAATCTCAGTCTAAAGATTGCGTCAGCACGATATTTGTCTTTATAATAGTGTGTTTAGTGAAAACGCTCAGGAGACTATGAATTCTATATGCGTGCGCATTCCCGTAGTGTACACAGGTTATCCCACTAAACATCCGACACTTGACAAGTTGTTTGGACCTGTGTAGCTAAGCTTTTGGCTGTGTACGACACAGCAACATGGAAAGCTTTTCCGAATGGTTTTGGGATGAAAAGTTCTGGCTGACACCGGGCATAAAATGGGAAGATTTAAGGTCAAAGACGCCAGGAGTTTACTATGGACAATTTTCAGATATCGGTCTGCCCTCGATTCTCATGGGCTTACTAATGACTGTCATAAGGTTCGCGTGTTTTAGGTAAGTTTTAAACTAATACAGGAATGACGTCTCTCAATCTGCATGTAAACATGTGCACGTTGAATGAAATTAAGTTCAAAGGTCAAGTCAAAACCACGCCACTCCGCTTGCGATATTTCTGAACCAATCGTGGCTTTTCGGCTAATCGTATAACTGGTAGCCGCTACCGGCACCAAAGGGTCACGCCCAATTGAATCGTCACATTTCAGGTGTCTTGGGTCGTTTTTTGAAAACTCGTTCATATAACTCAGATTTTCAGGTGACCTAGATCCAACTGATATAATTTCGAATGATAATTGTATGAAACACAAAACATCTCAACATATTCCTATTTTCAATTTCAAAATTTGTGTATACTTTCATTTTTGGCAAGATATAAAGTACATGTAGGATAATGGCCACCTTCAAGTTTGATAATTTGCTTTAAAATTAGTAGACAAGAAAGATTGCATAGGGTTGTAAAGCTATCCTTGGTGGTTGAGCACAGATCTGTTGCATATTAATGGGATGATCTATTTTAACTAAGGTATACTTGTTTTTATGTATAGCATGAGCTTAGAGCAAGTTATTATGGGAACTTTGATCTTTTTATATCTAGTTTGGACTAAGGAAGGGTTAGTACCATAACATTGATCTATTTATATCCAGCCAGCGCTGAGGACATAGAGTGTCTTAAAATATAAGTTGTATTTTGGAGAAAGTGAAGAAAAACAAAAATGGCAAGCCTCTGGTGAGCCAGTTTTGTTTTTCTATCCCTCACCAAAATTTTCAACATTGACTGAAAATCAGACTTTCAAAACTTCAATAGTTATCTTTATATTGTTGAATGTAATTTGTAAGTTAATTCAGAAATTAAACTGAATTCACGCACCTGCTAAAATACCACTTATTTTCTGTCAATGCCGAATACAGCAAAAATATATGTGGCAGGCATATTCTGACAATGTCAGTGCTAGTTCGAGGATAAAGGTTAATATGGTAACTTTGATCTGTTTACATCTAGCCAGGGCTGAGGACAGTTTAATACAGTAACTTTGATCTATTTATATCTAGCTAGGACTGAGAACAGGTTAATACAGTAAATTTGATCTATTTATATCTAGCTAGGACTGAGGACAGGTTAATACGGTAACTTTGATCTACTTATATCTAGCTAGGACTGAGGACAGGTTAATACAGTAACTTTGATCTACTTATATCTAGCTAGGACTGAGGACAGGTTAATGCGGTAACTTTGATCTACTTATATCTAGCTAGGACTGAGGACAAGTTAATACAGTAACTTTGATCTACTTATATCTAGCTAGGACTGAGGACAGGTTAATACAGTAACTTTGATCTACTTATATCTAGCTAGGACTGAGGACAGGTTAATATGGTAACTTTGATCTACTTATATCTAGCTAGGACTGAGGACAGGTTAATACGGTAACTTTGATCTACTTATATCTAGCCAGTGCTGACAACAGGTAAATATGCTTCTGCCCAATTGTAATGAAGGTTAAGGTCCAAACTGAATCAATGATTTCTGTTGATATAACAGATCGTTATATTGACCTATCAATGGCGATATTTATTTAATGAGTAACTGACATCAGAATCTGTTTAAAGCAACTCAACAACTCCACCAGTCAGTGTAAATACTTCTACATACTATACCTGCCATTGGACAGACCATATTACCTTCAGGACAATGACTTGTTCATTGTTTATGATATCTGTCCTCCACATGCTTTAGGTACAGGTAAATTTGTAATTTCTGTCCTCAACATGTACTGTTACAAGTTACCCATGGTCAACATATACAGGTACAATTGTTACCCGTGGACAACATATACAGGTACAATTGTTACCCGTGGACAACATATACAGGTACAATTGTTACCCGTGGACAACATATACAGGTACAATTGTTACCCGTGGACAACATATACAGGTACAATTGTAACCCGTGGACAACATATATGTAGGTACATGTGTTACCTGCCTAAATCATACATCAAACATTTTTATGTATAATGGATGTTTCAAGCTTTCCTTGGTTCAAAGGTTTCCATCAGATTTTTGAGTGCCTTAAAATAGAAGTTGTTATAAACACAACCAGTAGAAGTTTATTAGAGTGTGACATTTTGATGACTTCTTCATCAGACATTTTGATGACTACCCAAACTTCTTCATCAGACATTTTGATGACTACCCAAACTTCTTCATCAGACATTGTGACATTACCAACCTGAAGAAAATGCTAAAAAAGCTTGCATATCAAACATATGATGGAAGCGTCTCCCCATTTTTCTATAGGGCAGTTTTGACTGCATTGAACTTGTGACGTCACTGATGTGGGCTACCCATATTGAGGCAGTCATCCCAGAGTCAAAGTTGTGCATTTCAGATACACTTGCTTATCACAATATCTCAGAAACGGAACAAAATATGACATTCGCAATTTCTTGATCTTTTATCGTATAATATGAAATATCTTACAGCTAAATAATGCAAAACACTCTGGGTACATGGTTACTGCATGGTTAAACTGTTTCCTCCTAAGAATGATCAGTGGTGTTAGGGACTGAAGTTTTGAAACTTAAGAGTCAACTTCAGAAAATTAAAAGTTAGCTTTGCTATGACTATTTAATATTGGCCCCAAAAGAGAGAAATGATATTTTCAATGAAAATTTTCGAAGGTGTATAAGTCACAACTACAACCTCACTGTATTCTGACAGTTTGTTTACCTGTAAATAAATAATGTCATCTTTCAGTGAACTTTCTACTGTAAAATTATGTAGCTGAATTAAATTTTTTTTCAAAAATTACTACCGTTATTACTATTTCATTGACGGTTGATTTTGTAGTTAGCTCAATAAATCAACTTAAACTTGTATTAACAGTTTGTAGATATCTGAATTCATGGAAAAGTGTACCTGTGAAATTGACAAAAACAAATCCTGTACAAAAATGACTGACTTTACCCAAATAGTTTTACACATATCACTACTTGGTTCAGTAGCAATGCACACAGACAGCTACTCCACTCTTAAAAAAACTGGTTAGACTTTAATACTGTTGTAAACTTGGCTTTATGTATCAAGGTTTTATCAATTCATAGAAAGATTAATTGATATTCTACCATAGCCTCATAGAGAAATCAATATCGTATGTTGATAAAAAAAATGTGCATCAAATTAAAGCACGACTAAATATCATTATACGGAAGTGTACATAAACTACAGATATGTTTATTTGACATCAGTGACGCTACACCTTTTCTATAAGTTGATCTAGCAATTTATTTACCTAGTTCGTAGAACCGTGACTGTTTTTAAAAGGATAGTCTTAAGCTTTTAAATACCTCCTGAGGAACTTGATTTATTTCCTGCCTTCTGAGCTTCTACGTACTGAAAATTGAATCTACTGGGTACATGAGGTCTAAGAAATACTGAAAAACCCTCCAACCAAATCACTATTATCTGCTAAATTTAGTTTGAGTTTAAAATCACTTGTGCTAACATGTACTGGAATACCGACCTTGGGGCAAGTTGACGATGTAGGACAGTATATTGACCAACATTTGTGTGAAGTTAAATCCCATACCTTTCTTATTGAATAGGAGGGAATTTTATTGCAAGAGTGGAATTTTTCTTGAAACAAAGTTCATTCATGTAGACACTATTTACACTTCTATGAGCTCTTTGTTTGGTAGGAAGGTAAAAAGAATCACAGCTAAATCATGTACATTATATATGTCTTTTTAAGAAACCTCCATTTTTGTATAAGGTACCAGTGAATCCTGTGAATTGTGCTTAATTTTGGCAAAAATACTACTTGTCTACTTCCAGACTTATACAGGATAGCTTGATAAAAATGTTCATGTTTAAAATTGATCCAGAAGTAAGAGAATGATGTAAAGACAGGTGAAGAATAGATACAAAAAGTAAGACTACCACACAAATTGAGTTTACTTGGCAGTATGCTAGACAGTTCTACTACTTTGAGGATGAAGAAGAATAACATTATGAAGTAAACCATTTAAATCATAAATGTAAAATGTTATAAACAAAATCAAACTGAAATTTTAGTTTAATTTCAGAAGTCAGTTTTATGAGTACACGTGTACTAGGATTTACTATAGGCCAAACAATGAATTGGTTGGAGTGCCTTCTTTACACTGGAAATTTTGTGCATGAATTTGAAGACTGATTTGAGTTTTAAATTAGTTTCTGAAAATTTCAAAACAATAAACCAAAAATGTTTTTGATTTTTAGTTGTTATCTTTAGTAGTAATAGATTTAAAAGAGGTCTGACAGGAAGTTTTAACCGTTATATACTTAATAACATGAAAGACAGTTTTACACAAAAATAATCATTACATATCGGTTAACTAAGCAATATTCAGATTATGAAAATACAGATATGATACTGAATGATAAAAAATCCAAGTTATCTCACATTAATTCACCTTCATGAGCTTGTAACCTTAAACAAACAGTTGATATTTTTGGCCTCAAGTTCATAAGTCAGGTTACGAAAAGAATTATGTGTACTTTAATATATATAGGTCAAATTGGTGGGCTTTGACCGATTTAAAGATTAATATTACGGTATGTAAGTTCCACTCAAAAGTCCTATTTGACCTATTTGTGGGCAAAGTTTTATTACTGTGACGTTGCTATATATAACATAATTTATTTCTCTCATTTCGGTATATATCTAAGGAAGATAAAGAACTTGGATGTTCATATTACCTGTATTTTATAATTACTGTCCATGAATGTTCAACAGAAATGACCTCGTGAAAACCTGATTAAGGTGACAAAAATGTAAGACTGAAGTTCAGTACAGCTTTGATCGTTGTTGTTTCACGAGTTTGAGACGTGAAACTTTCATAGATAGTGGTGACTTCAGGCCCTGTGGTCATAGGCTAATGATATATTACAGGTGTAAAACTTTTAAAACTAATAATACCTTAGTGATTTAGCTGGCAAAATTCTATCAAGAAATG